AAGCTGACACAAACAACATCAAGTATTAGTAGTAGTCTAGAAACACCTTTGCAGAATATCTTGTCCAATATATTAAAGAATTTATTCTCTTCTGTTTTTACATAATGATAAATCAGATCGATTAAATAACTGAAGGATCAAGCTGAGTCGGATGAAAATTTGTCAGACATCGCATTTCCTATAGCTTCCTCCATTTGCTCCCCCCTTATTTCTCAATTCGCCTAAGATTTATTGAAATCCAAGTGAATACAATCAACATTCACCTTCCGCTAATTGGACTTGTTCGATATAATCCGTTTTCAACATTCAAGCAATGCATACTTTTAGAAAATTTATGTCAAATTTTGGTCTCTATCCGCTCATCCTAGTCCAGTAACTGTTGGTGTTGTAAAAATTTGTTTGTAATATAGACCAACCTGTGATGCACAACGATCTAACGACAATTTTAATACTTCAAGATCCATCTTTAATTTATTCGAATCTGTAATTGGAAGCAAAATGAGGACGTCAACACAAATAGGAGGATAAGAAGTGTAAATTAAAAGATAAACAAACAGTCCTACCTTCTATACTGGTTCTCTTAAGAACCTCGATCTCATTGGAGATTTTGCTGCTTTCAGCTTCCACCGCGATAAGTTCCTCTTTCATACGTTCAACATATGCATCTAGAGAGAGATTTAACAAATTATGAAGAAAAAGCATCGGAGAGATCGATCAAAACGCAGGAAAGTAAATACAAGTCGATAATATTGTAATGGTAACTTAAAGAAGGAAAATCCATTTAAAAGAACAGCGAACGAAAATTTGAAATGCACGCATACAAATGCATTCCAACCTACGGAAATTTAAAAGCAAGCTTAACAAAATTACCTAAATCATCAATCCCCAATAAACTATCTACGTTAGACCATTCTGACAGAGTCTGCTGTAGTCTGCTCTGCACATCTCAAAGAAAAAGAGCCACATATTTAAAAAAAATAAAAAAACGAAAGATATTTTAAGAGATGAAGAAAAGTACGATCAACTACGATACTAAACCTCGAGAAGGAGAGAACACTCCTTCAGTAACTTCTCAGAACCTAATGAATCCGTCGTATAAGCTTCATCTTCCTCCAAAGATCTCTGCAACTCTTCTATCTCGCTTATGCAACTTCAATAAGAGTAAAAATGTCGTCCAATTAATTATACATTGTTTCACATAACTACTGCACACAGAAACAAGATAGAGAAACCTGCGAACTGCTTGGAGATCGACGCTTAGAGACACAGACGGAGTAGCTTCCATCAATTCTGCCATTATTTTCTCCTTTACCTTTGCCGGAATTTGCACAGAATCCGAACGAGATTCCTCGCGCTGATTCGTCCGCGCAAAAATTCAAATTGAGAGAGAAGGGGAGAGAATTCTTCGGTACCCGCGGGGGCTCTTTAGTTTTTTTGGACCAAACCCGAAAATGGAGGCCGTGGGCCTTTTAATATTGGGTTTGAGTTGCAAGATTTAGCCCGCGTAAGCAAAATTGTTACAGCAGCAGGGAACCGCGGGACCGGTCCCGTTTCTGTTATTATTATTATTATTATTATTTAAATTTATTTCCAATTGAAAAAAAAAATCTAAATAATAATTCTAAATATAACTATTTGAAAGAATATTATAATATATATTTTATATTATAATATTCG